TACATGTGAGTCCCTGTGAATTTTCTGTTTTGTTCTTCTAACCTGTCTGTCTGTCCTTGCTCCAGTGCCATGCTGTCCTGATTACTTTTCTGTGGTGTTTGGCTGGAGTAGACCAGTATTATCTGAAAGTTTTCTGTCTGGCAGAGCTGTCCCTTTCTGGTCGTTCAGCTGGAGAGGGCAGGCTTCTGTTGTTGTTTTTATCTGAGCCCGCCCATCTGTCTGGCTTCTTTTGCTGTAAGTCTGAGATGTAGAGACAAAAAGAAAACTCAGGGACCAGTGTTGGTCCTCGGATCCCGAGGTCCCTAGCCTGTCTGCCTTCTTGCTCTACCTGTCAGTCTGTTGTCCTCTCTTAGCTTTGTTCACCAGGAGGAATAGGGATACGTATTCTTTCTTAAATGTTTACAATTTTACATCATTTCTCCTTTTGCCTCAGGAGTAGGAATTTCTAATTTTTAAATTTGTTTTATTTTCTTTCCTTTGGCTATTTATGCTGAAATTTACTGTGGACCATTCGAGGCCTCCCTCTTCTGCCCTCTTATTCAGCGAGGTTCAGGCTTGCTGTGGCTCTCCAGTGCTCAGAACTGTCCCAGCGCCAGCATGTTCTTTCCTCTGAAATCGCCCTCTATTCGGGCCTTACTCCTTCCTGTGTGCAGATAGCCGCTCCCCTTCCGTTCCTCCCAACTGTGGCTGAGTCAGGTCAACAGCTATTTCTCTGGAGTAGTTTTTGCAAGATAATCTGTTCAGTGCGTCATGAACAAAACTCTATTCTTTGTCAGTTCAGTGTGGAGACTGAACTGTAAGTCACCAGCTGCTGCAGCAGCACAGAGCAGGGAATGGCCCAAACCCGCCTGGCATTCTGTTGTTCGCGGTCCTGCCCTCATTCCTCTTAGCCCCAGTGTTGTCACTTCCTGGCCTTGGACTTGGTGATGACCCATGCGTGGTGCCTGAGCCCCTCAGCTTGGCTCCAGTTGGCTCTCAGTTCAGAGCTACCTTGTCTTTCAGTGTCTTTTCTGTTGCTTCTTCGTGAAACTGCTCCCGTCCGACTTGTCTTCTTGCCGTTCTCATAACAAGCCCTACATTTCTGCTTGTGTCTGTAATGCCCTGCTCCTCCTGGCATAAGTGTGCCCTCTTGTGTGTGTGTGTGTGTGTAGAGGGCAGGTTACTGGAAAGAATGTGTGTTTCAAGTCAAGCAGATCCCAGTTTTATCTCTTGCTGTGTGGCATAGCGTAAGTTACTTCACTTCTCTGAGCCTTAGTTCTGCAGTTTGTAAACATGGAAAAACACTTTTCTCACAGGACATATAAGGTTAGTTAATGTATATGAAAGTTCCTGAAGCCACAGGAACTCAAATAAAATGTGGGTTTCCTTTCTTTATTTCTGTAATTAAAAGTTGAGGCTAAGGGCTGGTTCTTTCTTCTCATCTTTGTGTCATTAGCCGACACAGCCTGTTGAGAACATAGAAGAGACTAATTAGATTGTTAAGTAAACAAACATCTGACTACTTCCTGTGCAGCCTGTGCTGTGTGAAATGCTAGGACTCGCGAATTATTGGGCAAGACGGCCCTGTGCGCACAGGTCATTAAAGCCCAACAAGGCCTGTGCAGCGCTGGAGGTGTGCTCCGCGCATTCTGCGGGCACAGGAAGGGGGCATGGCTTAGACTGGGCGGGGTGGGCATGAGGGGGGATTCCTGGAGAAAGTGTGGCTGGTACTTGATCCTTTTTTTAAAACATTTTTTTTAGGTATAATTTACATACCATAAGATTCACCCACTTAAAATGTCAATTTACGGTTTGTAACCATCACCACAGTCAAATCTAGACCGTTTTCATCACTCCAGAAAGATTCCTTGTGCCCATCTGCAGGCTTAATGTTAAAAGATGAGTATGAATTGGCCATACAGAGATCCTGGAAGGAGGTTCCAGGGCGTGAGGAAAACAGCATGCAGGGAGGCGTATGACCTGGGTCCGTGGGGACAGGATGCCTGTCAGTGGTCCGTCTGTGTCGAGCTATGCTCCTTCCCCGCACCTGTGCTTTGGCTTCCCCGGTCTTTGGACCTCAGTTTCCTCACCTGTGATATGTAACTGATAGGCTGGTGGGATCTTGGCTCTCTTTAAACTCTCAAACCTGGGATGGCCAAAACCATCCCTTCAATTAAGGGAAGAATAGAATGTACTTTTAAAAAACAATAGGGCTTCCTTGGTGGCGCAGTGGTTGGGAGTCCGCCTGCCAATGCAGGGGACACGGGTTCGTGCCCTGGTCCAGGAGGATCCCACATGCCGCGGAGCGGCTGGGCCCATGAGCCATGGCCGTTGAGCCTGCGTGTCCGGAGC